AACATGTAAAAATCAGTGGAGAGTGTACCTTATCATGCATCACTTTTTATGTACCACTTTTTCATTCAGCACTTTTCTTGTAGCTTACTATTTTTATGTAGCACTTTTCAAGTAGCACTTTATATATAAATATATATATATATATATATATATATATATATATATATATATTGTTTTTTTATGGAGAACTTTTCATGATGCTCCTTGTGCATTTCTTGCATGCATTTTTCAGGTAGCACATTTTAATGAAGCACTTTATTTTTAGAAGTTCAACTTTTATATAGTAAGTATTTCTTTGTAGCACTTTATTGTTGCACAATATGATATCCTACTCAATTTTGTTTCATGTGGTTGCTTTGTACTAGTGTTTATTGCTCGGCAACATGATGCTTCTGAATATGATACTTTATAATTCATTGTGTCACAGATCCTTGTTATTATGAATTCATCATGCAGTCATGGAAGTAGGAACCCCCAAAAATCTTGGATTTTGAAATTTACACAGATAATCTGACATCCCCCAATCCTTTTCCTGAGCTTGCATACCTTAAAGGACCACTATAGGTCCCCAGACCACTTCAGGTCCATCTAGTGTTAACCCTGCAGCTGTAAACATAGCAGTTTCAGAGAAACTGCTATGTTTACACTAGGGTTAATCCAGCCTCTAGTGGCTGTCTCACTGACAGCCACTAGAGGCGCTTCCGCGAAAATCTGTGCAAGTCACAGTGAGAAGACGCTGATGTCCATAGGAAAGCATTGAGAAATGCTTTCCTATGGACTGTTTAAATGCGCACGTGCATTCGGGACCGACGTCGGCAGAGGAAGGAGAGTTCCCAAGCGTCGAGGGAGCCCGGTGCTGGAGTAAGGTAAGTGTTTAACTCCTTCAGCCCCCTTAAGCCCAGCGGGAGAGGGACCCTGAGGGTGACCTAAAGACCCTATAGTGCCAGGAAAACAAGTTTGTTTTCCTGGCACTATAGTGGTCCTTTAACCCACACAGTTTTCAACATGTAAAACTACACACTACACTATATACCATGTTTGTAATTAATATAAAACAGTGCTCCAACTAGATGGAACTAATTTGAAAACATGCATTCCCTTTGTGTGTCATTATACTCCACACACACATATATCTACACATACACACTGCCACCAGAGGCGGCTCTCTAATTACGCACTTTGGGCGGCCGCCTAAGGCCTCACACTGATTGGGGCCTCACGGCCACCTAAATCGCTTTAGGGCAGAGTGACATGTCGGGTCTTCGGTCTCTGACTGAGGACCCAATACAGGAGGGGCACGATGACTTGCCCTTTATGCCGCCGGGTGCGAGGCCCCTCCGTACAGTTTGTTCTGGGGGACAGCCAAGTTCCAGTCTACAGCTCTACACCCAGCGATCTCCAGCCACGGGTTACTGCTCTGACTGGAGATTGCAAGACTTAGAATATGGTCTGCAGCTCTGCACCCGGCAGAGCTACACTGGACCACCAGGGAATAATTAAAGAAAACATATGTTATTTATAACACCCCCCCCCCACATTGTCACCCCACATCCACCCTCTCAAAGCCCTTCAAACCTCTCACAGCCCCCCTAACCTCTCACAGCCACCCACCCACTCAAAGCCCCCCAACCCACTCAAAGCCCTCAACCCACTCAAAGCACCCTACCCATTCACAGCCCTCTACCCATTCACAGCCCTCCCACCCTCTCACAGCCCCCCAACCACTCACAAACACCCTACCCTGTCACAGCCCCCTCCACACCCTCACAGCCAGTCCCACCCTATCACCATCCTTCAATATAACTACAGCCCCTATACACACACAATGAACCCCTATTTATTTTCACTTTGCCTGTTAGTGAGTGCCTCGTGTTTGAGTTTTGCCTAAGGCTTCATAAAGTCTAGAGCCGTCACTGATCTGTCACACACACAGATACAAACATACCTACACACACAGGCACACACAGACAGTCACAGATACACACTGATAAACATACATAGCCACTGATGCACATACATACATACTTACATATACACACTGACACATACACAGATACACACAAATACCTACACATGCATTATTTATCCTATATTTTAAAAAAAATTACTGAAATTCTGCACTTGAGAGGCATTTTACAATCAAGACTAATACATAAATTAAATTATTGTTCAGCTTTTTTGGGGGGACAATGGTTGTAAAGAAACTAGAAAAAAATTTTTTTTTTAATTTAGTAGTTTATTAATACATAATATTATGCCATGCAAAGTTTAAAAAAAAAAAACATCATTCCTGAAGCACAGAATCGCAGAAACACTTTGTCTAAGTGGTTAAAAATGTTTACTTGTTAAACATTGTTTTTGTTAGCATATTATAAAATATATATTCACAATATATTGCTTTTAGTGATAGGATAAAAATCATGAAAGGATTTATTTACTAAATATAGCAGTTTGATTGACATTTTTTAAAGTATTATTATCTGTCACCGTTCCCTTTCCTATGTTTTTTTCATTCAAATTAACTGACCAGTTATTTGTATTCTATTTCAGAATATCAGGCATGTCATATTCTCTCATTCTGCTAAACATTATCTTTGCATTAACAAGTAGACATTTCAGGTTCAACAATGCCGTTAGTCTTTGTTACATCATTAAAAAATGAAGAACACTTTCGTACTCTCTGCAATACTCATCTGAAGACCTCATCTGAATTTCACCTGTAACATCTATGATTCTGAAAATTCTATGTCATTCCCTCTATTTTCCTATGTTAATTTAATTAAAGTATCCTTTAACATCTGCCGAAACTCATTTAAATTTAGATACAGTCAATCGGTTAGAGGACTAGAGACTCATCAAATCAGATGTTTTTCTCAGCTTGTCAAACACAAATTGCTCACAGTCCTCTTAATTATCTGACAGAGAAGCGCTTTCACAAGTCTATGTATTTAAATGGACACTATAGGCACCCAGACCACTTCAGCTGATTTTTAAGAAACTGCAATAATTACATTGCAGGACTAAGACTGCCTCTAGTGGCTGTCAATCACTATAGGAACCCCATGCTGGCTCTAGAGGCTGTCTGATTTGGTCGACTAACTGATGCTGGACATCATCGCGCTCTGTCTGAGGACCTCCAGTGTCTGCAATGCTTTTCTATAAGGAGGGCCTAATGCGCTCGCCTCACTTGCACATTAGTGCTGTTGGAGGAAGCAGAGTGCCAACCAAGCACAGAGCCTCTGCGCTGGAATTGGGTGAGTACAGTAAGGGCTATGTTATAGTATTCTTTTAAAGAGCATGACTACATATTTAAACACACTCACCGTGCACTTGAGATGAAATATAAGGCATTACAACGCATCCTGGAGAGTTTCAGCATGCTTAGTGAATGGGAGGCCTAAAATGTAACCCTGCACAGTATAATGTTATATTTGTAAACCTGTATGCTGCATGTGCAACCAGTAATACACAGGAATGAAAAGGCCGTACATATATAATATTATGGAGAATTTCAGACAAGAAAATAAATTGCAAGAAAATATTGTCTATTATATATTAGTACATATTTTTTTCATTACCAAATGTAATAGTAAATAATATTGTGAAAAAGTTATTCTGAAAGTGATTACCCATCCTTATATAAAAAAAAAAAAAAAACATGTTAGGTAACATGCTGCACTTTTCTGAGATAAATTAAATTATGTAATTTTTTTTTTTACATGTTTTTTTCAAGGTGTATGTGATCTGTCTTTGCTCTTTGAATCAATAAATAATGAAGGCGTGCTGAATTCATACACATTCATAAGCTCGTATTGCTTAATTCAAGCACATTTGTAAGCATTTAACTTGATAATCAATTTTCTGCTTGATTTCATAAATACTAAATAATTATTTCATAAATAGTAAAGCTTAGCTCACTAATACTAAATGTTAAAATATAAGAAGCACTCTAGTGGGATCAATAGTTCATGGAGCTGAATTAATTAAAGGAACAGCACAAGCACAATTACCACTGCATTGCATTGTAGTGGTTAAGGTGCCAGAAATGCTCTGACACCCCTGCTTCCCTCTAGTAGGGAGTCAAACCATTGTAGAATGTTTGAATTTCTTATGTGGTATCTGCAATACACGACTCCCCACCTTTTCTACAGCTTAGTGAGAACTGGTAGCCAATAATGCAGTGAGAGTGTTCATCTAATGCTCTGCAGGGCTTAGCTCAGGAGACCTAATGGAAGCTGGAAAGCAGGGAGCAGGGCAGGGTTCTAAAATGGTTTGCTTCCTTGCAATGGGGAAGTGCCACTACACCCCTGCCACTACTACCACTATAGCATGCTAGTGTTTATGGGGCTTGGAGTATTCTTTTAATCATATCATAATGAATAATATGTAATTGTAATATACAGTCATGTTTGAAATTGCCCTTAAATGTTTTACTCATAAGCGATGGCATGCCAGTATCTTAGTACAAAATGGTGGACTGGTTGAACATTGTTCTTTTTTTCTTTCTTTTTTTTATGAAGATTCTGGAGAATGTTTCATATCTGGGCATCATATTATACATAACAAAACATTTGAAATTTAAAATATTCTCTGAAAGAACCAGTACAGTTTAAGAAGGAATATTTGGCATTTTAAAATACACTTAAAATGTGTAAAAGAAGCACAACCAATTAGCAAATTCTTGTGGCTCTTTAAAACAATAGGTAATGTTCAATTTATAGTTCACATTAATTATGGAAGTTTACAATTGTAAAATATGTAATTTTAATTTGGTTTAATTTATATTTGGAACATATATATCTTTATTGTAGCAGTATATTCATCTAACCATTAAGGCAGTAGGCAATAAAGTAACTAAGCAGTAAAGGTTTGTAAAAATACATAATTATGTTAGAATTCAGTGGAGTTCACTGATGTAAGGCAGGACATGCTTGATGACTTCTGTTGCCTTGTGAGTAGGTCTTCATCTGTCAAATACCATCACACTCAATTTTGAATAACTACATATTACTGAGATCATGAGATCTATAGTGCATGTATGAGTTTGGGCATGTTTGTGGGCGAGGTATAGTGAACTCCTTTTGCGGTTCGAGTTCCTGAGAAAAGAAAGAAACATGTTATGTTTTATAAACGGACTGGATGTTTAATGTCTTTCTCTGCATTTACAAACCAAAATTTCATATGTACAGTTAATGCATATATAGTGTGAGAGAAATTGTGGTTTGGTAGTTGATGGCATATAGATTAGGCCTGCGTTACTGAACAGCAGCCTGAGGTTTGAGAGTTAAATGTCCCAGGGAGAGATGTTAGGTTTGCAAGATGCATCACTGGTACTCTGCAAACCACAGTATGGGTCCCTGGGGCGGAGCACTTGGAGAGCAGGGTGGGCCAGTGCTCCAATAGCACCAGCTGCTAAGTAACAGTCAGACCAGAACTTTTATTTTACTTAATAGTTTCACTTATGTCTAATTGCACCTCACCTGTATCTGATCAATTAGCTAGCAGGCTTTTAAAAAGAAGGGATTAGCATGCTGCAGGGTGAGGAGGAAAAGCCAGAGGAATTATGTACTTTTTGTAAATTGGCAAGTGGGAAAGTCACCCAATTCCAGATAGGGATTTGCTGTGTATAGTAAGTGCTCAAGCAAGAGCAAGGACTTTTGTTTTGTTTATTTTTCATTTTGAAACACCTGTGTATATATATTTCACCAAATAAATCTGAAAAACTGAGCTGGATGTGTCCTGGACTTTCATTACCCTAGAAGGCTGTGACAAAATCCTACCTAGAAAAGAGGTGGTGTGTTACATATGGTGGAGAATGCGGGCAACCACGTAAGTCTGAAGGTAAAAGTCTTTTAAAGATCAAAATGGAGGATGTTATCAAGGAACTGATCCAATCCACCTCTGTGCAACAGGAGGCTAACAGGAGAGCTGCAGAGAACAGTGCAGCCCTGCAGCAATTGGTGCTGGTGCTGCTAAAAACCTGTCCTAAACACAGATAGAGTGCACCGAGTCCTTGGTGAAACAGATTGCTGTGACACAAGCTGAGATGTTTAATGTAGCCCATGAGGAGCAGCGAAATGCCACCCAGGGACTACAACAGGAAATGCAAGCGATCTCTAATAAGCTGAATGGAGACCCGGATGGGAGAAACCAGGGGCCAAAGGTGATTCGGGCGAGCCAGTACCTTCAGAAAATGACCGCATCTGACGATGTTGAGGCATACCATCTGGCATTTGAACTCACTGCTGAGAGGGAGGGATGGCCGTCTGGTGAGTGGGCAAGCATACTGGCACTGTTCCTAAGTGGAGAGCCGCAGAAGGCATACTATGATCTAGAACCAGCAGATGCAAGTAACTACGGCAAACTGAAAGCTGAAATCCTGTCACGACTGGTTGTAACCTCTGCGGTACGTGCCCAAAGGTTTCACTCATGGACATATTCTTCTGACAAGGCTGCACGATCTCATACACCTCGCACGGAAATGGCTCCAACCTGAAATACATTCAGCCAGCCACATTGTGGAGACCTTAGTAATGGACCGCTTTTTGCGTGGTTTACCAGCTGCCCTGCGTCGCTGGGTCAGCCAAAGTGATCCCAATACAGCAGACCAACTGATTGCCTTGGTGGAAAGGTATTTGGCTGCAGGAGAACTACTATGGCCTAGTTCACAGGAAAACCCCTGCAATCCTAAGCCCAAAGATTCTGCAAGACCTGGTAAGACTGCTCACCCCTAAGGCTGACCCTAAGTATGGCTGGACCATATCCTCCATTTATCTATCATTTTATCCTTTTTTTTAGTGTACAATGATCTATGAGGCATTATTATTAGGTTCCCCCATTAAATGTGTAGAAACATTTTTACTTACCTGACATGCAGAGACAGTTAAAGCTCCCGGCGCTTTCTTCCATGCCCCATTATGACACCATCCCAGCACTTGAGCGGTCCAATCACAGGCTTCTCCTGGAGAAGCCTGTGATTGGACTGTTTTACTGGTTCAGAGCAAAAAAAGGCCTATTCAATTAGTGGAGGGAGGCTGGAGAGAACACACAGGTAAGAAGGAAGGGTGGGAAAGAGATTTATACATCTGGTGCCAGGATGCTGTGCCCGTTCATGACAGATGAACAGAATTGACATAGGCAGCACCCAACAGATTTGGGGGTGCAACTAGCTCCCGGCACACAAAATAACTCTTAATGTGAGGTGCTTTAAGCAGAAACACTCTGCATAACACTCCAACCACCATGATCACTTCAAATCAATGAGTGGTCATGGTGTTTGGAGTAACCCTTTAATTATTTCCCTAGTGACTAAAAACAGTCTACCTTGACTGTAGCAGAATGGGTCTGCTATACAAGACTAATGTCCCTTGGTTAGGCAGTCAATACCCCTTCCTTTCGTTGCTCGAACACAATATGTGTGGCCAACGTTTTTATACCCCACGAACACCGGCCACCCCTGGCTGTTAACCGCAAATGAGCAATTAGCTCAAGTGCTTTCTCTGGGTGGCCGTCATTCATATAATTTGAACACATGTGCTCTAAGGAATGGTGGCCATTTTATTTCCCGAATGTAGGTAGCCGTACATGGTCGTCAAGTGTATGGAACTCTGTGCCGGCTACAAGATCCCATGAACGCCAGGGAAAATTGTACCGCTGCTTGTTCAGCTTCTAGACAAGTTAGGAGAATGGAGTTTGTGAAAAAGGAACTACTGACCAGGGGGAGTATTCACTCCCTAGAAGCCAGGGGGAGTATTCATCGGTGCTCGCACAGGAACCCCCTGAAAATAGACTGGCCATTGCCAAATGGTGATTCCATTCTACCGAAGGGATCGGAGCACTGTTTGGACAGATCCAAGCTATTTGTGTTTATAACCTTTGTGGGGTTCCTGTATAATTATATGTTTTGTATTGTTTCCTATAACTGAGAGATAATTGAGTTAGCCTTCTTTAGACTCAATTATCTTGCAGACACAGAGATGCCTGGGAGTGACTTGTACTTTTTCCTATGGAGACCCCATGCTGGAGGTCTGTGCATAAAAGGCAGAATGTGGCATAATAAACCTCAGTTGACTTCCAGAAATATGTGTTAGTTACTGGGGGAAAGGGTTATAATCACAACAGTGCTTCTAACAGCTTTGAAGAATAATCAGCCGAAATACCTAGTCAGGGTATCGGAGTTCTGCTACATTGACCACACCCAATTATGACTTTTATATGTGTGTTGAGACACCTACTAACATATATATGAACAGTGGCGGAACTACCAGAGTCACAAAAGTTGAGAATTTGACTAGGCCTGGGAGTCCTACCTGGCAAGGATGGGTAACTAGATCCACAGCTGGCAAAGCATCATTGGATTTGTGCACCTATTGTCCACCTCTGCTCTGAGGTCGGGGAGTACGTAACAGCTTTTTGCACCGGGGCCCTAAGGTTTCTAGTTATGCCCTTGTGTAGAGCTTAAATAAAATATGGAAAAACTTGCAATGTTACTGTAACTCTTGTGTGATCAAACTGTTACATAAATCCACCTAAACAAAAAATTATAATAATAATATCCTATTATAATGGCACTCTTTTCAAATGACAACAAAATGCAAAGCCCTTGTGCAAAATTTGTCATATTTGGTGTACTGGTAGAGATATTGTTTATGGTGGGATTGGCAGCCATATTAATTTTAGTGATTAATTTCACCTAATATTGAATAATCCTCTACAGAAATGTTCATATTGCATATCTAAAACTTGTTGTAACCTAACTTAAAGGATCACTTCGCATTCACAAGTTCTGAAGTGCTTTATGGGTGAGGAGTATCCTATTATAATGATGGTTTTTAAAAGTGCAAGTTTATAGGAGAAATCGGTACTTTTATAAGCAATTAATGAATAGAGTTGAGTGGACACCTGGATGTTCGGGACAAAAAGTCTGGGTTCGGAATCAAACTTGACCCCGAACACGAACCCCATTGAAGTCAAAGGGGACCCAAACTTTGTGAATCACTTGTGAATGACTGGCCTGATAACAGAGGAAATGACCCCTCTTCCTCCTCCTCTTTCCAGGACTTTTTTAGAGGCATTTTAGTGCCCAAAAGTTCGGGTCCCCATTGACTTCAATGGGGCTCGGGTTAGGGGTGAAGTTCTGGTCAAGTTTGAGCTCGAACTTTTTTACGAACTTCGGCCGAACTCGGCGAACCCGAACATCCAGGTGTCCGCTCAACTCCACCCGGCACAATAGTCTACATATCTCTGTATGTGCAGGTTTTCAAGCAAAAATGCTGCACATACAGACTTCTGCCACTATAACCACTTATAAAAACAGAAGTGGTCATGGTGATTAATGTAACCCTCTAATGATTTAAGGGAGGGCAACCTTTTTTGTCCATTCTCACTGTTCTCATACTCCCTTTTTCTCAATAAGTTTCATATCAGGGCAAAGTCACTGAAAACGCCTTGTACCATTCTAGAAAATATTACAAGTGCCTGTTTCATGTGTATTAAATGTCTACTTACCCTCAAAGCAAGAGTGGCATCAAATTGTGGTGAGTGAGAGTGTGGTGAACTTCTTCCAGAGTCTGGCTCTGCAAAAAAACCAAACAATAATTACATTAATCTGTCTGTCTCCAATATTCTACTTTATTTCCTTATCTCCGTACCATGTTTATCTGCAATTTGCAATGAGAAAAAAATTTAGAATTTAGACATTAATGTAGAATAAACTGAGGAAAAAAAGGATGCACATAAAGTTGAACAGAAATGTTAAATGCCATTTACTAAAACTTGTATAACACAAGGAGAGAGATCCAGTCAACCATTGCAAGCAGATGTGTTATTGCCTAGCTCCATCAGAACCTTGCCTAACGTATCCTTAGTTTCCATACCAAAGAGAAATTATACTTCCATTGTTTTAAAAATACTGACGCATCAATTACCCTGACTCGTGGTTGTGGATTGATGCAGCTTGGATCAGGGGTGTCCAGGGAATCCAGATCTCCTGCATTTCTGGAACGCCTGATTGTGGTTTGTATTATGACATGGTGTAAAGGCAGTCCAAGGTGAGAACGCCCAAACCCCTCTGCTGCCTTTAACCCCTTAAGGACCAAACTTCTGGAATAAAAGGGAATCATGACAATCACACATGCCATGTGTCCTTAAGGGGTTAAATCAATACCTACTCAGCATCACCAATCTTTGCATTACCTTATCCAATAATGCCTCAATACATACATAGGTGAAGATTAGTACCAGAGATTAAGATTGTAGAGATTGCTTCTCTTCACAACAAGAGGGGGAACCCCAGCACATCATATCTAAGGCAGGACCTTACAATAATCATTATTTTGACCCATAAAGCAGTTTTTAAAAATAAAATACATTTTTGAAAAATCAAACAAAACAGTTACTACTAACTTTAGGCATTTCACACATAGAGCATTATCAAATAGTTCAAAGGACCATTTCATGAATAAAGACATCTTCAAGTGGGAATTACATTAACTGTCATTTATATTATAAATGTATTTATGGAAAATTTCATAAATAAGGCATTGTATTTTGTTATATATGATGTGTATATGAAAATTAGCTAGGTGATTTTTTTTGGGGGGGGTTATATCACCAATTACCACTATTTTAAATCCTATACAAGCAAAACTGCAAAATGTGCACTAACTACATAGTCCACTTAGAGGAACAATATTAAGATTTAGAAAGGAAGAATGTGCATTTCTGTGGTGCCCTTTATTCATTTAAGTACCCTAATACAGGCATTTTCTAATTTTCTAATGTGATAACTTTTTACGAGACCAGGCTCACCATGCCCTCTTCAAGCCACATTATAGACACATTATAATTATTTTTGATCATTTTGATTGCAAATAATGAGTCCTGCATATAGCTGGTCTCTTTTACAGAAACACGTTCAAACCCATATTGTCAATGCTCAAAGAGAACAAGATTCCATACTGATGAAAATTTATTTTTCAATACATATTACCTAAATTCCACATACTATGCAATCAAACATCCTTGGAAGTACATATTGCTCAAAACAATAGTCCTCTCTTTAATTTATGCATGGCATCAATCCAGGTATAAATCCAGGCACATCAACCTTAAAAATGGGCTGGACAAAGATATCATCTGGCGCACAGCCAATTAATCCATGCTTGTCTCAGTTTCCATTCAAATAATATTAATAGCATTTATTTTCCAACCTTCTGGTCTATTTAGAATGGAAAAGGCAATCCGACTGATAGAATTTCTGTTTCCCTGTCTTTTCTGCTACATGTAAAGGGTGCTCCCCTTAATGCTGCCACAGTTATTAATCAGAAAAGAAAATTACAGTAATTGTGAAATCATTTTAAAGGAAGTAATTCTCTTATTTTCCAGTCATGGACAAAAACATTAAAGGAACACTCCAAGCGCCATAATGTTTTCTCATTTTGTGTATTATTTTGCAGAGTTTATAGGTTTGCAGAGTCTCTTTCTTTTTTAGTCTTTGACATTGTTGTAAAAACCTTGGGGGAGTCTTTTGAGGAGTCAGATATTAAATGGACACTATAGTCACCTGAACAACTACAGCTTAATGTAGTTGATTGGGTGAGTATAGTCAATCCCTGCAGGCATTTTAATGTTCAGAGAATAGACAGTATTTACATAGCTGTCTAGGGAAACCTCCAGTGTCAGCCACTAGAGGTGCTTTCTGGGTCAGTCCTGCACAATGTGCAGCACTGATGTTCAGCATCTCTAAGCTCTGCACGGAGACGCTGAACTTTCCTCATAGAGATGCATGCGCAATAGAATCCCAATGCTTACTTATAGGAAAGCATTAGATTTGCTGAGATAATCAGTTCTGATGATCTCAGCCTAGGATGCGGATCAGACCTGCACAGTACTGGAATAAAGGTAAGTTTTCTACTTAAGGGGAGCAAGGGGGGATGGGAAGCTAAACATTTTTTTTTTTTTTTTTTTAATTCTTTATTTTTGGATGTGCTTAGTTAAAAGGATTGTGATGGGATTCCAGCATGGTCAAAATTTAGTAGGCCAAAATCTCCATGTGGCATATGTGTATGTTGTGTCAGTTAGTTAGCTACACGTAGCTAGGATACTGTCATCAGTGTACTGAGCATGTGCAGGAATGCAGGAACTGAAATTGCACTTATTTCCTTTGTCGTGGATGAGCCATGTGGTTTGACTAGATGTACAAGTCTATATTCTGCTCACTGATTGGTCTGAGGAATATAGGAGGGGTTATACTGTATGGGAGGAGATATGCAGTTAACAAAAGACCCAAGCCCCAGGTATTTGGCTCTCAGATCATTTGGAACAGGAGTTCATCTGAGACCCGATCAGTAATGTGAATAAAGGCCTCTTACTTCCTGAAGACTTGTGTCCATATCTCTGTGTTTGGCTTCTGCATGCATTACACTGCAACAGGATAATGTAATTGACACAGTCAAGTCAACACAAAAATAGGCATATTCATCAAAGAATGTATACATAGGAAGCAGCACATTTTGAAAAATAAGACAAAAATAGCACGGTGCTAGGCTAGTAAACGATAGTGATAGTGAAATGTAAAGTACAGTGTATGCACTAAGACTAAATTCAACTGCATGAAATGTGTAAGGAGTAAGACAAATAGCTAAGCAGACAATTGATATAAAGATTACAAGAGCCATCTCCTTAGAATATAATATAATGAGTGAGTAAACCCCACTTTAGGCCTCTGTTCAGCAGATACTGATTCTGCAGGGCTCCAGGCACTGTTTGCATAAGTCCATCAGGGCTGGGGCTAGACCATGGTCCAGGAAAATGTGCACACGGGTCCTGTCAGGATATTCTCCAGGCTGTAGCAATGTGCCAAAAATATTTTAATTGACACATTTTTATAATACAAAGAAAATATACTAATAATTCAACAAAGTGTGCACCACAAATAATGCTGAAAATCTTAAACGTAAATGTGAAGAAATCCCTCTTTGTATTCCGTATTTCTCCCCTATTTCATTCGGTAGATGTAACTACCGAACAGAGACCACCCCCCGGCTCGTTAACTTCAAAGCATGCCTCAATTGAACCCACTACCTGTGTGGCCGTTGTTCGTATTGCCGAACGCCACATGGCTGAGAAAACGACAGCCATCTTTTTCTTCGCGAACAAAGGCAGCGGGACTAGGTTGTCGAGTGTCTGGAACTAAAATCGCACGCTCAACTTTCCGAACACCTGGGTGAAATCTGAATATGTTGGTCACCCAGATCGGGGCTATCAGGGGACATATTATTTCTGGGGATACCATGTATAAAGGAGTGTTCTAAATATTGGGTAAAACTGTACTTTTTCTGCCTGGAGATAATTATTACTTTATTAGACTTGCTTATCTCCAGGACTAGGGGAGGGAATTGTATGTCTGTGCTGGGAGTGTTTTATGTTTTCCTTGTTAATGATTGGATGTAGCATGTCCAAGTCCTTGCATGGGGACTTGCATAAAAGCCAGTGTGTCATAATTAAAAGCCAATTCTGTTGCACCCTTCTTCTAGACTCCGGCTGATGTTTGGGTATTCGTATGCTTTACTAAGGGAATCGTCTGGTAAAGCTATTGCATTCGTATAGGAATCATTTATTTTATCTGATGAATGGAGAGTTATAATCACTGATGCTCTGGCCGTTCGGAAGGAAACTACCGAATGAGTGTTGGATATACTAGGTTTCCTTACAGTAATTTACCCTTTAAAGAAATAGATTGTAAGAAGATGCCTCTTATCTTCTGTAACACATTTATAGCTATACAATCTAAAGAAATACAAACGAAAAACACAAAATAGGGTAATATTGTCTGTCACCAAAACAATGAATGTAGGCACGTATTGCACTCACAAGAGTACGTTAAATTTGGGCATGTAGAAAAATATCAAGGTACACGTTCTTCTTGGTGCATCCTTTTTGCTTATTAAATACATAAGAAAAAAAGGAAAAGGGACAAAAACACAGTGTAGTATTTAAAACACCGAATGACACTTTATTCTGGTTGCACTCACAAGACAAAAGTACATGTAAGGCACATCAACAGACTCCTGCTGTCCAACACGAGGTAGAGGTTAACAGGAACAGTGCAGAAAATTAAAAACAAAGGATAAACTAAATAATAACTACGTCTAGTCCCAAAGCCTTATGTGTTTCGTCCTAAGGGTGTATGCTGAAATTCGTGCTGTCCCAATATCCAATCAACCAATCGGGACAAGCGACTTTGTGTAGATCCATTTCAGATTACTGATTGAGTCTCAGACCTTGTTTTCAATCTGATGTATAACGTTCTTCCTGGGATGCAAGAAACGTTCTATGCGTTCCAACTTGCTTTCAATTTAATCTTAAGTGAGTACTTATTATTATTTATTCTGATGTCTATAATGGTCTTCAAGATATATTAACTCCTTATTATCTGATCAAATTATATCAACCTGCTATATAATGCTGTAAGAGCTGAAGTGATGAGAGTATTGTCAGGATTACAGAATGATCCAGCACATAGAATTGTGTAACACAGAGGACTGATAGGTAGCGTATACCGGACCTTAGAATGGCCGGACTAACGTACCAAAGAATAGTCAGGAATAGCCGAGGTCAAGGGAAACAGAAAGAGACACAACGATAAGGAAAAGCCAGGAGTCAGAGATGCCAGAAAACAGGGAAGTCAAAAACAATGCCAAAGTCAAATAACCAGAATTACCAGAATCAATAACGCGCTCTCGGACAACCACAAGGGAAACCACGACAGGGCACTGAGCAGGATGAAAACTGGGCCTAAATACCCCTCCTCTAGCTCTGATAGGTTGTAACCAGCCTTTGACCCCAAAGGCAGTTACCAGGTTCCCATTTGCATAATTGCTGCTCAGCATTAACCCTTCTGTGGATTTGGTTGCTGCTCGGCACAACTTTTCCTGTGTGGACAGTAAATGTCATTAACCACATTTTTATAAGCGGATGAATACATGACATTGACCCCCACCTGAAGAACGCTCACAGGGCGGGCAGGACCAGTCGTGAAAATAGCGAATCTTGCTGCCAGCATGTATATCAGATGCCAGAACCCAAGAACGATCGGCTGGTCCACAACCTTTCCAATCCACCAAGTACTGTAAAGTTCCCCTGAGAAAACCTGGAATCAGTTATGGAGGAGACTTCATACTCTTTCTGTCCAGAAACAACTAAGGGAGTAGGAGGGACTCTTGAGACAGTATATTCATTGCAAACAAGAGGTTTGAGCAAGGACACATGAAAGGTATTAGAAATTTTCAAGGAGGCCGGAAGGGCCAGAGAGTACGCAACAGGATTGATCCTACGAACGACACGAAAAGGTCCAAGGAACCTAGGAGCAAATTTCATGCTAGGGACTTTGAGCCTGATGTTACGAGAAGATAACCAAACCCTCTCACCCATTTGGTAAACAGGTTTGGCGCCTCGACGTGTATCAGCAAAATGCTTGAAACGGTCAGCAGCAGTACCCAGAGCAGATTGAACTTTAACCCAGGTATTACGGATGGATGCCAGATGGTCATCCAAAGCAGGAATAGCCGTATCAGAAAAAACAGCCGGTAGGACATTAGGATGCTGGCCATTATTAACAAAAAATGGACTATGCCCAGGGGAGTCATGGTCAGCATTGTTCCTAGAAAACTCGACCCATAGTAATAATCTGGACCAATTGTCTTGAGTGCTATTAACAAAACAACGCAAGTATAACTCCAAAGACTGGTTAGCCCTCTCAGCTGTACCATTAGTCTGGGGGTGGTAAGAGGATGAAAAAGACAATTCAGTCCCCAATTGCTTATTGAAAGCCCTCCAAAACCGGGATACAAAGAACCTCTATCAGATACAATATTCTGATGAATGCCATGCAGGTGGACAATCTCATGTATAAAGATCAGTACCAGGTCTTGAGATGACGGTAATTTCTTGAGAGGGATGAAGTGAGCCATTTTAGAAAAAAGGTCCACAACCATGAGAATAGTGGTATAACCATTAGAACTAGGAAGTTCTACAATGATATCCATAGACAAGTGGGACCATGGGATCTCAGGAACGGGAAGAGGTTGTAACAAGCCACAAGGCAGGTTATGAGGTACTTTGGAAACTGCACAAACAGAACAAGCCTGCACATACTCCTTAACATCCTTCCTGAGGGAATACCACCAGAATGACCTCATGATAGCAGAAGTGGATTTATTAATACCTGGGTGACCAGCAGACACATTGTCGTGAAACACCTTCATGATATTAACCTTTTCTCCCAATGGAATGAACAATTTGTCCTGAGGTTTACCGCAGGGTGCCTGAGACTGAGCCTCCACGATGGAGCCAAGCAACGGACAATGAAAGGATAGTGGAAGAAATGATACATTCCGGGGGAATGATATGGGACTTTTCTTGCTCTTGTATAGACTCAGTATTAAACTGTCTGGATAAGGCATCGGCCTTGACATTTTTAGAACTAGGTCTATAAGTAATAAGAAAATTAAAGCAAGAAAGGAATAGAGACCACCTAGCTCAGTGATGGCAAACCTTTTTGAGCCCGGGTGCCCAAACCGCAATACATGCCAACTTTTTTTCCCTCAACACGGCAATTAAACCTGAATACTGAAGTTTAAGTTTAGAAAAAACAACGCGTACAGTTGTCCGAACTAATTAACAACTTTAGTTTTAAAAGAACACAACAGAGAGTTCAATGATACAAATTTTAAATAATGATATAAATCGATCAAATTAAGCTTATATTTATTAGTATCTCCAACAAATGCAATACATACACACACAGACTGCTGAATACATACACAGTCTGCTGAATACATACACACAGTCTGCTGAATACATACACACACAGTCTGCTGGATACACACAGTCTGCTGAATACATACACACACAGTCTGCTGAATACATACACACAGTCTGCTGAATACACACTGTCTGCTGAATACATACACACACAGACTGCTTAGTACACACACACGGTCTGCTGAATACACACACACAGTCAAACTAAATACACACAGACAGCTGAATACATACACACACACAGACTGCTGAACACACACACACATACTACATTGAGGGGTGCAGTGTATGTGCTTGTGTGAGGGGTGCAGTGTGTGTGTCTGTGTGAGGGGTGCAGTGTGTGTCTGTGTGTGTGTGGGGAGGTAGGGGTGCTGTGCATTGAGGTAGGGGTGTCGTGTGTGTGTTGGGGGGTGGGTGTGTTGTGTGTGTGTGTGTGTGTTGGGGGGTAGGGGTGCCGTGTGTGTGTGGGGGGGAAGGGGTACCGTGTGTGTGTGTGGGGAGGGTAGGGATACTGTGTGCGGGAGGGTAGGGGTGCTGTAATATGTGTGGGGGGTAGGGGTGATGTGTGTTTGTGGGGGGGATACTGTGTGTGTGTGTGTGTGTGGGAGATAGGGGTGCTGTGTTGGAGGTGGTGGTAAAAAAAAAAGTGTATTAAGTCTGTATCCCCCCCCTTCCTCCCTCCTTCTTACCTTTGATGAAGAAGGGGGGACTCAGCCCTCCCTGGTGGTCCAGTGGTGGTAAGGATTGTAGGGAGCAACTCTCCTGTCCTCCTGCGCGATGCTGTGTGGAGCGTTGCCATGGTAATGCGCAGCAATGCTCCACACAGATTGCTCGTGGGAGGACAGGAGAGCTGCTTCCTAGAGCCCTCCCCCCGTCCTCCCGACACAGAAGCAGAGTTTTGGGCAGGCAGGCGCCTACTCTGCATGGATGGCGAACCTATGGCCGCGTGCCCACAGAGAGGGCCCGGCGTGCCACCTGTGGCACGCGTGCCATAGTTTCGCCACCATTGACCTAGCTTGTCTAGAAGACAATCGTTTAGCATCTCCTATGTAAGCCAGGTTTTTGTGATCAGTAATGATCAAAAGGGGGTCCTTGGAACCCTCTAAAAGATGTTGCCACTCCTTGAGAGCTAGAATAATGGCCAACAATTCCCTATTGCCAATATCATAATTGCGCTCGGCAGGAGACAACTTTCTAGAGAAGTAACCACAAGGATGCAATGGAGTATCCTGGCTCTCTCTCTGCCCCTACCCCTGTCTCTGATGCATCAACTTCTAGTATAAAAGGTTTACTGGTGTCAGGATGTATCAATATGTCAGCTGAGGCAAACCGCTGTTTAAGAGTTTCAAAGACTTCTATAGCCTCCTTAGACCATATCGTACTGCTAACCCCCTTGCGTGTCATATTGGTAATGGGGGCTATAACTGAAGAAAATCCCTTTATAAACCTTCTGTAATAATTGGCAAAATCAATGAACCTTTGAACGGCTTTCACTCCAGTGGGTAAAGGCCATTGTAGAACAGATTCCAGCTTTTTAGGATCCATCTGAAACCCCGAGGCAGAGATATTATATTCCAAAAACTGTACATCAGATTGGTCAAAGATGCATTTTTCTAAATTACAATAAAGTTGATTCTTTAACAAGGTCTGCAGAACTTGTCTAACGTGATCGTGGCGAGTCTGAATGTCAGGAGAATAAATAAGGATATCATCAAGATAGACCAAGACAAACGAGTAAATGTAATCCCTGAGTACATCATTTATGAAATCTTGGAAAACCGCTGGAGCATTGCACAACCTGAATGGCATCACTAGATATTCATACTGTCCACTTCTGGTATTAAATGCAGTCTTTCACTTGTGGTTTTCCTTGATTCTCACTAAATTGTAAGCACTTCTAAGATCAAGCTTGGTAAATTCTTTAGCGCCTTGGAGTCTATCAAATAATTCAGCCACAAGAGGAATGGGGTAGGCGTTCTTGATGGTGATTTTGTTCAATGCCCTGTAATCGATGCATGGGTGCAACTCACCGTCCTTTCTAGATACAAAAAAGAATCCTGCCCCAGCAGGCGAGGATGATTTTGTATGTGGCCTTTCAATGAATCCTTAATATATTCCTCCATTACTCTACTCTCCTGAGGTGACAGAGCATAGACTGCTCCCTTAGGTGGCATAGCGCCGGGTAGTAACTTAGTGGAACAGTCATAAGGTCTGTGAGGAGGTAGAGTATTAGACTGAGTCTTGCTGAATACTTCTTTAATGTCTTGGTACTGTATAGGGATTTCCGGGTTTTGAGGTGTACTAGTGGGTAATCCAATAGTGCCCACTCTTTTGGCAACATTCAATATACACCATTTATAACAATCCTTACCCCATTCTAATATTTCCCCATTAGCCCAGTCAATATGAAGGTTATGCTTGTTAAGCCATGGAAAGCCTAAAATGATCGGACAGGAAGGGGATGCAATAACCTGAAATGTAATCTCTTCCTTATGTAAGGCACCAATGGACAAATTAATGGGTAAGGTTTTGTGTGTAATCAATGGTTGTGAGAGTGGTCTCCCATCAATAGCTTCAACAGCTAGGGGTGATAGTCTCTCCTTGATAGGTATAGTATTGCCTTTAACATATTGAACGTCGATTAAGTTTCCAGCGGCACCTGAATCCATCAGGGTTTTGCATGAAATGTTCTTCTTTTCAAAGGCAATAGAAATATCAAGGAGAAACCTATTTTTATCCATTCCAGAGGACGTTTCCATTACACCTAAGACCTGCCCCATTAAGGTGCTTAGATGTGGTAGTTTTCCGGATGTATGGGACAATTGTTTCTCATATGTCCTTTTCTACCGCAGTATAGACATAGGCCTTCTTTTCTCCTATATTGTCTTTCTGCTTCAGACAGTCTAGTGACCCCCAACTGCATGGGTTCGGGTTCGGACTGTACAGGCAATTCAGGGACAATAGGTTTGGAGAAGAGGGGTGCTAAAAGGCATATTCATGTGTCTGGTCTTGTTTCTAGTAGCTTCTCTGGTTCTCAACCTATTATCAATTTGCATGACAAAAGTGATAAATTCATTAAGCTTTTTGGGTAAGTCTTTGGCGGCAATCTCATCTAGCATAGTTTCAAACAATCCCTTTTTTAAATGCAGAGATTAACCCACTATTAGTCCAGTCTACCTCGGAAGCTAGGGTACGAAATTCTATGGCATACTCCGAGATAGACCGGTTCCCTTGTCTGATATGCATCAGGGCAGTAGAGGCGTCTTCCTCCCTGCCTAATGGTTCAAACGTAAGTTTAAATTCCGTAATAAACTCTTGGTAATTGTGTGCCACACTCCTATTACTCTCCCATAATGGATTGGCCCAAGCTAAAGCTTTACCTTTTAATTGATTCATCAGGTAACCAATTTTAGCTCTGTCTGAGGCCTCAAAATGATACTTTATTTGGTTAAGGAATCCCCGGCATTCTTGGAAATTACCATCAAAATGCAGAGGAGGAGATAGAGAGAGTTGGTGCCTTGTATACTATAGACGGAGGTACACAAGGCGGAGGTGAGACAGTAGGAGCAGCCGCAGGTTGCAGATGCGCTGTACGGGTAAGAAGCGTACTGAAGGCCAGTTGAAGGCAAATTGATCCATGCGGTGCTCATTCTCCTCTAGTTTCCTTTTGCAAGCAGCTATGTGCTTACACTATTCTACAGGATCTATGGCCATGTTGTAATGTCAGAATTATAGAATGATCCAGCACGTAGAATTGTGTAATACAGAGGACTGATAGGTAGCGTATACCGGACCTTAGAATGGCCGGACTAACGTACCAAAGAATAGTCAGGAATAGCCGAGGTCAAGGGAAACAGAAAGAGACACAACGATAAGGAAAAGTCAGGAGTCAGGGAAGTCAAAAACAATGCCAAAGTCAAATAACCAGAATCACCAGAATCAATAACGGGCTCTCAGACAACCACAAGAGAAACCACGACAGGGCACTGAGCAGGATGAGAACTGATAGGCTGTAACCGGCCTTTGATCCCAAAGGCAGTTACCAGGTTCCAATTTGCATAATTGCTGCTCAGCATTAACCCTTCTGTGGATTTGGTTGCTGCTCTGCACAACTTTTCCTGTGTGGACAGTAAATGTCATTAACCACATTTTTATAAGTGGATGAATACGTGACAAGTATCCTGTGGATATTATGGATTGTTTAGTTGAAGTGAAACACACTCAAGTGGATCACACTTTTTGTTGAAAGAGGTGTGGTTGTATTGATGCATGCTGCAGTGTTTTGTATCGCCTGTTGGCAGGATGTCCTTAATGTTTTCCTCGCAGAATACTGACTAAAAAATTATAGGTTAAGCAATAAGTCGTGGTTTCATAGCAGAAGTAGAAGAGCAAGTTCAAAACAGTGAAATGGTAACTTTCAACAACATGATCTATGTGATGGTGAAGAAACCTGAGAACTGGGTGTGAATATGTTAAAAGTTTGGCAAGAGGAGGATGTCTTAGATAATTGAATAAACTAAATACATTTTATTTCCAGTGTTTTGGAACTTCATTGATCATATTTTGGATGAACTGCAAGCTGCACCTACTTGGATGATATAATTATCTTAAGTCATACTAAGACTTGCCACTTTGAAGAGGTGCTAAAAAATCAGCAGCTGGAATCCCCATCTGACCCAACAATCAGCATTCTAGTAACTAGGCAAATGGTTGGAGGTTGACCTGAAAAAGAACAAAAAACCCATCAAGATAGACTTGTTCTGTTAGTTTTCAGGATAATCCTAACTTTCAGAAAATATATTGAGGGAGTTTAGATTCTAGCAAAACCGACTCTAGAGAGTCTAAATACAGTCAAGAAAATATATGTAGCCACGCCAAAGTCAAGGAGTTTCAAAAATAATGGCAAAACAAGCTTAGTGTCACAACAATTGAAGATTCTCAGCAAGATACAAAAAGAAAATAGACAGGTGTGTTACTTGACATTAGAGTGGCTGTATTTAATGCCTAGGAAAGAAATAGTAGGTATCAGAACTAAATATATCCTGGTTCACACCAGGAGAAGGATAATGTGCAAAATCAGGGTTTAATAACATAACAGAACTAGTTCACAGGAGACCAGAATAATAACTCGTCAGGAACACTGGAAACAAGACAGGGACAAATTAAGCAGGTCAATAATCTTGCTGGGTCAGGAACAGAAGTCAAGCAAGAAAAATACACTTAATGGTTACCAGAAACTACAAAAAGGCACTGTACCATAAAACGAGAGAACATATAGGTCCAGGCCCTTGAGTGTGACAAATGCGCAAAGCATCAGTCAAGACTTCAACCATTTAACACATAAAAAGATGTGAAATTTGCTACTTGCATCATTTAACTTTGCATGTGGACAGAATGACAAGACTGTGACTGAGTGACAATAATGCTGCATCCAGAATGACATGGGCATGCTCTAGGAAATTGATGCCACTATGGGAAGTCAAGGACAGTGTTGAAATTGACACAGGTGCATAATTTTTAGAACAAAGGCATCTAAGTGATGTGCATGGTTTTATTTTTTTATTTTTATTTTTATTTTTATTTTTTTTTACAAAGTCTCCAAATTGATGCAGATGCACCATTACTGGAAAGGGAATGCTGTGCCCACAAATTCATTTACTCAGCTATGTAAGAATTGATTAGTTCCCTAAAACCTAGTCAAGGAACTGCCAGCTAAAAATATTAGCACTCGTGGGATACATCAAACTTGAAAACAGATGCCATCTCCAGACTCTATAAAGCAAAACTTTCATTGATACAAAAATAAATTAATCATAGGTATCACCATGATTATCCGTTATATTTTAGTTGGACTTTCTGGCTTTGCAGGTGATTTGTGGATAAATCTAGTCAAGGGTTGCCTGAAATCAGAAACCACAAAGAAATAGTCAAAATCAATAACAATGTAATCAAGTTATGAAAAGGAACACACTATCGGTCACACAGGAACCACAACAGGGCACTTCCTCTAGCAAAAGGGTTTAACTAGGTTTAAAAGGGTTTAACTAGGGAAGGAATGTGCATCATTCCTGGGTCACCAGAAGGTATATGAAAAACAAGGTAGATGAACTGCATTAGCACGATTCCATCTACTCACTAAATAGGACTAAATGCTTAAAATCATGGTGAGAATGAAACCTTACCTCAATCTTAAAAATCATAGATTAGATAGATATTATATTATGAAATTATATTGATATATCTTGCATGATCACTTTATTTACATAACACACTTTGCTTATTTATCATTATTTGCACTAGCATGGCACACTTCATTTACAATACTATAAATGTGAATAGCATCACTTCAGGGCACATAGGACTTTATGATAGATATTGATTAGACACAATGAGCAATATTATCATTATTGTGCTATAAAATGGTGAAGTATATGAATTTTAACATTATGCATTATTGACACAAACATGATGAATAGAATGAGTTGCATAAGCACTAGTTGCTCGCATTACAGTAGGATTGATGTGGTCTCAAAACTGTTTGGTGATCTCTATGGTAACTGGTTTGGTTTCACGGATTCGTGCACGTAGGGGAGAGACTTAAATGGAATTTCACTTGGGTGACAAGTTAATCTTCTCTATAAATAGCCGTTTGATATTATTATTATTATTAATATTGCCATTTATATTGTGCCAACAGATTCCATAGCGCTTTACAATATTTTGAGAGGGGGGATGTAACAATAAATAGGACAATTACAAGAAAACTTACAGGAACAATAGGTTGAAGAGGACCCTGCTCAAACGAGCTTACAGACTATAGGAGGTGGGGTATTAGAAACATTAGGACAGGAAATATCAAGTAGGAGTGAAGCAGAGCTGGAGGAGAGAGCAAAGCACTGTCCCATAGGAGAGAGCAGGAGACAGGTATGTAAGGTAGAGATTACGGAGGCTGGGAGGCCATAAGCTTTCCTGAAGAGATGGGTTTTAAGGCCCTTCTTAAATGATTGAAGACTAGGGGAGAGTCTGATGGCAGTAGGCAAGCTATTCCATAGGAGAGGAACCGCCCGCGAGAGGTCCTGCAAGCGCGAGTTGGCCGTACAGGTGCGAGCAGCGGTCAGGAGGTGGTCACGGGCAGAGCGGAGGGTACGAGGAGGGGCATATCTATGGATTAGTGAAGAGATATAAGAGGGGCTAGAATTGTTCAGTGCTTTAAATGTATATATGGGTTAGCACTTTGAATTGACTCCTATGTATGTTTATGATTTTTAACCATCCTGATCAAGTGGATAGGTGGAAAACAGTGATAGCACAGTTTCCCTACATGCTTTTCAGGTCAATGATTTTTTTTTTTTTTGAGTTTTGAGATTGGTAGAGGTTTTTTTCTGTAAGCCATAAACGCTTTACTTTGAAATATACAAGATACCTGGCACAAGCAATCCAGGTTCTAGCTTTTCAAAGGACAGCTGTCTATTACCATTGGCTTTTCACTATCCATGGAGAGTTGGTCAACACAGAGACTAGACTAAAACAATCGCAATGACAGAAGTTACATTGGTGCTCTTAGTTAAAAAGTGCTCTATGCACTAAAGCAGACTAGAGAAGCAAATCTGGCTATAACCACCTTTAGCAATGATATGATGTTGAGGTCCATAGAAAACCTTTTATGGGAATTATAGGCTTTAAAAGGACATGCTTCAATTGACAATTTTTTTTTTAAACCAGCAAGCAAACACTTGAAAACAAATATACAAAATAAAGTAAGAAAAACTTTGAAAAGTATGTAATAAACATGTATAAACGATAAATTTGGTCAGATGGCATTGTTGGATACTCCCCGACAATGGAGCATGCACTGCATGAATCATATCTTTCAACTGCACAGTTGTAAACCTGCCCAATGCATTTTCCAGCATTCCCAGGGATAGTACACTGATTGGTTAAATCAGTGCCCCCTTCCTATAGTGCATAAGAAAGAAGCCTAAAGCTTTTGAATGAGACAGTTGGCTCAAAGTAATGCATGTACCTTTAATGGTACTGATTTGATCAACTGGATTGCACTCCAACAGAAATTTTAATGCTGTTACCACTTCTTTAGGAATACAGTTATTGAGGATTAGAAACTCTTGCATTTTTTGTAATCCAATACTGTGGTTAATAGAAAATCATGTTTAATATAATGTCAGAAGAATGACAAGTTCCTCCTTGAAGTGAAGTGCTCATACCAATGTTGCAATATAATAGGACTGAAAAGTTTCCAATAATTTGGAGAGCAGAGTAAAGAACAAACAGTGTAGATCAACCTACAAATATTCAACCTACTTCAACCTACAAATATATATATTATTACAGAAAACTACTTGCAAAAAGACTGAAAAAACAGACATTTAAATATAAATATAAAGGCGCTGTAGTAAATAAAATGTAAGAAAATGTGGTTGAGTTTGTTTGTTCTTGACAAATCTTGACCTATTGATCCTATTTTGTAACTTGCTGCGTAAATCACCACACACCACATAGAGTAAAAACGTGTGTATCTGTGTAATGTGTGAAGTAGTTTGGATTTGTAACAGTGTGGGTAGCAGTATGTTTAGTAGTGTGTGAGGGAGGTAGCAGTGTGGATGGTATTATGTGTAGTAGTGTGTGTGGACAGTATGGGTGGCATTATCTTTAACTAGAAGTATGTAGTAGTGTGTACAGTATGGGGAGCAGTATGTGTAGCAGTGTGGATATTATTATGTGTAGTAGTATGTTTGTGTGGATAGTATGGGTGCATTATCTTTAACTAGAAGTATGTAGTAGTGTGTACAGTGTGGGGAGCAGTATGTGTGTGTACTTGTCATTTATGACCCTCAGTGTCAATATAGAAATCCCAGAGTAATCTGCTCCACTCAGCAAGCAGCAGACACTAGATGCCTACTCTGATCAAGGAAAAATCTATATATATTTAGACTGAACATACATTTATCCAGTACTTGCCTCCCTGCAGTATCTGATGAGAATATCACAGACTTATTAATCTTTTGATGTAAAAATATCCAGGATAAATAAGAGACAAATTTACAACCGAATGACTGAAAAAGAAAACACCCAGTAAGTCCAGACCTCAACCCGATTGAAATACTATGGTGGGACCTGTGCATAAACAAATGTCAGCAAACCTCAAAGAATAACAATGTGAGAGACTGATTAAGTCATACAGAAAAATATTACTTCACGTTATTGTTGCTAAAGGTGGTTTTAGAAGCGGTTGACTCAAAAGGTGTACTTAGTTTTTCACACATGGCGTCTCAGTTTTGGCTTTATTTTTGTTAAATAAATCATGACACAGTGTTATATGTTGTTGTTCATCTGACCTGCTAAGGAACTGATAACTGTTATGTCCTGATATGTAAAACAGTAGAATTCAAAGAGGGTGTACGTTCTTGTTCCCATGATTGCATATACCCAATACACTAATCATTTGCCTTTCCTACATTTAAAGTGTTATCTTGTCAACTAAATTAAACTATAAATGATAGATCTGTGAGCTTAACATCTGTGGCTGGAAAAGTATTTTATGGGTTATTAAGGGATAATTTTCAGGAATTCATTGGAAAGAACATTGTTAGCAAAAATCAGCATAGTTTTATGAAACATAGGTCATGTTAAACTAATTTAGCTGCATTCTATAAAAACGTAAGTAGACATCTAGATCAGAGTGTTGCAGTGGATGTGGTATACCTGGCTTTTGCCAAGGTGATTCATATAGTATAAGGTATAGCTCAACCAGGCCCGTGCAATGTTGCAAATCACTTTCTTCCAGATAACACTCACCAAGCCACATGGAAGGGAAAGGAGGATATAAAGGGGGAGGGGGCAGACCGGCAGTGCAAGCCCCTAACTCCCAACAGCCCCAGCTATCAGAAGTCACCTCCTGCACCCAAAAGGTAGGAAACTAGGGGGGAAGGCTACAAATTTGATCTATAAGTATTTATTTGTATGTTTGTGTGTGTGTATTTGTATGTATGTCTTTGTGTGTGCCTGTGTGCCTGTATCTCTATGTGTGTAGTGTTTGTATCTGTTTGTACGTCAGTATTTGTATATGTGTGTCTGTTTATCTGCATGTGTGACAGTGTTTGTATCTGTGTGTCTGTGTATCTGTATATGTGGCAATGTTTCCATTTTTGTATCTGTATGTGTGTCAGTGTTCGTATATGTAGCTGTATGTGTGTCTTTGTGTGTCTGTATCTGTGTCAGTGTGTATCTCTCATACACATACATACATACATACATACATACATACACCTGGGGCAGAGGAGAAGCAGAGGGAGCCTGGAGATGAAAAGGGTGCCTGGGACAGAGGAGAAACAAGGGAGAAAAAAGGAGGAGATGGGAGAGAGAAAAACATATATATTTGAACTAACAGCATCTATATTAATTTTATGGCAAGACAGGAGGCTTCATATTTGCTTATCTTTCTTTACTGTAACTCCCAGCAGCAAAGAAACAGTTAACCGTGTAAAAAAGTTAAACCAATCAGCATGCATCACAGTAATATAAACTGCCATCAGGCTCCTCCCAATTCCTCTTTCTTTGCTGCTTAGCCTCCCAGGTGAGTCTATTCTATTCCTATTGCAGGCCGGTTAACCCTTTTTTCCCAACAGTGGTCTCAACTCACTCGGGATCCTTGGATCCTTCAGACGGTGTCCGGGTTCCACCTGGACTTTTCAGGCGAACCAATACAAAAATCTCCTCCTACCCCGATCAAGATGTCATTGTTAGACGAGTCGACTCTACAGAGCGAACTCAACAATCTATTCACCAAAGGTGCGATCGATAGAGTTGTTGGCCCACAGATCTTCATAAGCAACATGTTTCTAATCAAGAAAAAATCAGGAGACCTACGACCTGTTATCAATCTGAGAGATCTGAACAGGTTCATCACATACCGTCACTTCAAAATGGAGGGGATCCATTTATTGAGAGACCTACCCTCTGAGGGAGATTGGTTTTCCTGCTTCGATCTAAAGGATGCATACCTCACAGTGCCGGTAACACCAGCCCACCGCTGCCTCCTTCAGTTTCGTTGGGAACCTGCCTCCCCTTCGGCCTGTCTTCTGCACCCTGGTGCTTTACCAAACTAATGAAACCAGTGATGGCATTACTGCGCTCCCAAGGAATCCGTTCCATAATTTATCTGGACGATATCCTCCTCATGGCACAGGACCAAGAAACTCTTCACCTTCATACAGCCATGACCTCCGCTCTGTTGCAGAATCTTTGCTTCTTGATCAATCACCAGAAATCATCTCTCACACCGTCCCAGACGATACAATTCCTGGGATTCCAGATAGACTCTGTTCAGGCAGTTCTTCAACTTCCGGCATCCAATATCAAATCCATAAAAAAAGACATTCGGAGGTTACTGATATCACCATACCTCTGCCTGCGAGATCTAGCCCGCATCATCGGCTTGCTCTCCGCCTCAATACAGGCTATATTCCCTGCCCCACTGCACTACTGGGCATTGCAATGCCTGAAAACCCAATATTTACATCAGTCGACGTCCTATGAACAACAGATCACACTCACAGACGAAGTCCGGCTCGAACTCCATTGGTGGCTACACCATATGGACGCTTGGAATGGAAGAGCCGTTTTCGGATCCCAACCCGATTTCATTCTGGAATCGGATGCAAGTCTGTTCGAACTAATTGCAGGCTCCTTCGCAATCTGCAGTTTCGCCATGGATGCCTACAATTGTTCCGTGGTGCTGAAGATGGACAATGTGTCAGCAGTTCGTTACGTGAATCATCTAGGAGGTTCCAAATTGAAGATGCTGTCAGACCTGACCAAAGAATTATATCAGTTCTGCCTAGACAGGAATATCTCCCTGCGAGCAGAATATCTACCAGGATCAGACAACCTCGTCACAGACTGGTTCTCCTGACATTGGAGGGACTCCAGCGATTGGCAACTGAATCCCTAGATATTTCACCGTCTCCAGATCTGGCGGGAGCCATTCAACCTGGACCTCTTTGCATCTCGCCTCAACAGTCAGACGGACGCATTTTACAGCTGGTTGCCAGATCCAGCGTGCCTTGCAGTCGATGCCTTCTTACAGACGTGGCCGATGTCCGGGGCATATGCATTCTCCATGATTCCACGCACACTACAGTAACTCAAAACTCAAGGTGTTAAGATAGCACTAGTGACCCCGCTATGGCGGGCCCAACCATAGTATCCTTACCTCCTAGAAATGTCAGGGGACTTTCCCCTGCTTCTACCCACCGCCTGCGATCTCCTCAGGGACCCGGCAGGCAACTTTCACCCATTGGCAATCCAGGATGATCTCCAACTAGTGGCTTGGACCGTTTCAGGGGATCTTGGAATGTCTCAGGCCTTTCGACAACTGCTCAGGGACTCCTTTGGGATTCATGGGCCCCTGGAACCAGACGCTCTTACATCTCTGCATGGCGTCTCTGGAGTTTCTGGTGTTTGGAAAGGAACTTTGATCCCTTTTCAACATCTATAATTAATATTATCAATTTCCTGTCATCTCTGTTCGACCAGGGTAAATCCTACCGGACGTGTTTCGGTCTGCTATTTTTGCAGCACACGTTCCTTTTGAAAGTTCTTCAGTAGGCAAACACCCTTCTGTGTGTAGACTCTTGCGGAGCATCCGCATCGCTAGACCCCAAATATAATCAATTCTGGAACGTGGACATCATGCTCACGTTCTTAGAGTCTTGGCCAGACAACGAGGCGCTCTCCCTAGGCCAATTGTCAGCCAAATTAGCTCTCCTCCTTTGCTTGGTCTCCTTCCAAAGAGTTTCAGACATCAGGGCTTTCGACTTTCATGCCCTCGATTTCACACCGGAAGGGGTGCACTTTCACATCACTAGATGCACCAAGACCAACTCATCTACGGTGAGCTACCCCTATTTTTCAGAGAAACCCCTCCTCTGCATAGCCCGGTGTATAAGACACTATATCTCTTGCACTACCCCTCTCAGGGCACCTACTGGGCCCCTCCTGGTATCCTATGTGCAACCACACAAACCAGTCTCGTGCCCTACCATTGCACGTTGGATTAAATAGCTACTAGCCCTAGCTGGCATTGATGCGTCTTTCGGAGCTCACTCGCTTAGAGGCGCAACCGCCTCCTCTGCACTCATAGCTGGAGGTTCCCTAGCGGAGATTCTATCCTCCGCTGATTGGTCTAGAGAATCCACCTTCTGTACCTTTTATTTTAGACATTCTCCACACGTTTCTCTGTCCATGCTATCTACGCATTAAAATAGCAAATATGAAGCCTCCTGTCTTGCCATAAAATTCGGGATTATTCTAACTCACAGTGACCGAATAATCTAAATTTTATTAAAGACAGGAGGCGAATATTTTCCCACCCTGGAATATCTTTACCCACCCTTCTAAGTAAGAAGTAAGTATCTCATACTATCTCCAGCTCTAACTAAGTGACTAGCATCCTCTCCATTCTCTAGCCTATACTCGTTAGTTCATTATTATATGCTAAACTCGCTTTCAAATTTAACATTAGTTTTATTATATTATATGTGTTTCACTTGCTCTACATACCAGACAGTTAATTATCATAGGTTAGAGCTTGCACTTAAATTGGAAGTCAGTTTCACTGCATTTAATTTGATTTTCTCTTGCCAAAGAGACCATACTGTCACGATCTTTCTCTTTATTCCTAGTCTGAAGATCGCTTGTCTTCTGTCTCAAATCTCCTCGCGGGTTGAACACTGTCTTCATCCTATCGGATACCTACACCGTTACCTACCCATCGTTCTAATGGTTCTACGTTTACATGGTTGACTCTACGGCTGTTCGGCTACATCAAGAAAGAAGAATTGGGAGGAGCCTGATGGATATTACTGTGATGCATGCTGATTGGTTAAACTTTTTTACACTGTTGTTAACTGTTTCTTTGCTGCTGGGAGTTACAGTAAAGAAAGATAAGCAAATATTCGCCTCCTGTCTTTAATAAAATTTAGATTATTTGGTCACTATGAGTTAGAATAATCCCGAATTCCAAACATTAAATGAGCTACCAAGTGGTACACATGTGAAAAAAAAACATTGGGAACCACTACTCTAGATTAAAATTCTTGTTCAGGGAGTTGTCATTAACGGTAAATTGTAATGCTAGACAAAAGTGGTAAGAGGTGTCCCTCAGGGTTCTGTTATGGGATCGCTTCTATTTAACATATTTATAAATGATCTGTGAATAAGCATTAAAAGTCCTGTGTTTGCAGATGCAAAAAAGACACACTGGTTAAAACCAACCAACATAAGAGATAATTGCATGCAGTGGGACTGGTAAGAGTTAAAAGCTGGTGAGATACTCTACTTTATCCTCACAAATTAATCTGCCCACTGAGTGGTTTCTGCCCATTTTACCATTTAACTTAATTCAGATTAAGCAATAACTTCTTTAAAGAGGTACAATCTCACTCTCAATGTGGTTACACAATCACAGCCCCAGTTTCTTTTAAGATGCATGAAATTATGTTACACTAGACTATGAATGTGTGAGAGTTTTGCAAATTGTGTTGTACCTTTTAACTAGATAATCAAAATAATATTAAAAATGTTTTGCTGCAAATACAGGAATACAATGTAAACCACGTTCTACTTGTTTATTTGTTGGTGTAAACTGGTGTACTTTTTTTTATACTCAATCTGTCATGTAATTATCACATTTGTTAGAAAAATATATACAACCTTGCATAAGCAACACCTGATTTGCTTTACAAAAGTTGCTCTTCATTCTTACTCAATGTGTGGCAACATATGAGTATATTACAAATATCTGGATGCAATTTGCTGAAAGTAGACCTGTTACTTATAAATATTTAATAAAGATTAATTCTTGTTGGAATCTAATTAAAACACATTTTAACCTAATAAAAAGATATCCAAATAAAAAAAATGGGGAGTATAATATCTTATTGTCAAAGCAGAAGTTGACAAAATATGACAAATAGTGGTTGTGACAAAGTGCCCTTTGCCACTTGTGCCTGGAGAGGACTAATTGCCAGCCTCCTGCCCGGCGACTATGGCCCCTGGAAGATTTTACCCTTTAAAAACGTTATTTGGGCATATTGGATTTTATTGTAGTCTGTCTGCCCCTTTAAATTATATTATTGGAGCAGTCTGCAGCTTTAAATTGTGAAGAAAGCCCCTGTTTTATTCCCCCCTCCCTCACCCTCCTAGAACACCAGTTAAACCCTTAATACCTTGTTACATTCAAACTCTGTCTGACCCAATAACTGTCATATATTCAAACACTGACCGAACTTAACTGTCAGTTTGTTTTCCTCTGAGGAGGAGTTGTTTTGCTGCATGAGTGCTGTTGCTTTGTGTGTTCATTAAAGAGACCTGCTTGACCCTTTCTTGAAGCCTTGGCTCATGGTGGGGAATGGGATAAGTCTGCAGTGTTGATGGTGTTGGTTGGAGTCCTCGGCAAGCACTAGGAGCATCGATTGGCGGAGGTACTCGGTCGGAGAGCCAGCGGGTCCATCACAGTGGTGTTTTGTTGTTAATTCAGAGAATAGGTTTTTCTCTCTCATTGTGGATTAGGTGCCAGGAAATGAAGATGGTCGTCAGGAAGTAGATTATGGTATCAGTGATGCAAACATCCAGATTAGTATATCTCCCTGTAGCGTCTCACTCTGGGCACAACATCTCAAGTGGGAATGCCACATTTAAGGGTCTTTGTAAATTATGCAAAAACCCTTAAACTGATAGAGGGGACATACCAACAAATGTGCAAACGAATACATTTTGTCAAACATTAT